AATTTAATGTAGACATTTTCTAAAATTTGTATTCGTTTATACAAATCCAAATTTTTTAATATTTTATATATAAAGTACTAAATCAAATTGAAATCTATCAATTAACATATTGTATTATTTAGTTTTCTTGGTTTTTTATATTAATTAACATATTATATTATTAGTGAAAATTAAATATATTTTGAAAGGTTAAATTATATTAATTTTTAAACATGTATTTTTAGTTATTTTACATTTTCCAACTAGCTTATCAACTAGTGTTATTTAGTTTATCAGCTACTACCTAGCTTATTAGTCATCAGCTAGTTTATCAGTTAGTTCGTCAAATATAGTCTTAAGAAGTAAATCGTTAGGTTAATTTTATTTTATGAGGCTTTCTGAAGGAAAAAAAAAATGCTTAAAACACTTTTCAGTACGGTGTTTGACTTGGTCTAAAAAGATAAAACTTGTTAGACGTGCACTTGTACTTGTTGATTGCATAAGTTTAAAACTTCTTTTAAATTTTATTAACACAGTTAGACATCTAAAAAGACTCGTTATTGCTGTAATAATCGAATATTATTTATAAGGCATTTTTGGATATTTTAACAAGTTTTTTAGAACAATTAAAGTGTTATATTAGTTATTTTATACGATAATTTTTAAAAAGACAGGTGTATATGACAATTTCAAAAGTGTCATATAAAATAGCTAATATGACATTTTAGTTTCAAAACCTCTTAAAAAACTTGTTAAAATGTCTAAAAACATCCTATAAATATTTTGTAATACATTTAGATAAGACGTTCTATAGTTTGATCATATAAACTTAAGTCCTATAAAATATTCATTATGATGCATATATTAGAAATGAAAACAGCTTCATTTTTATGTTTTTAGTGGTAGATTAAAAATGGTATAATAGCATTAAATATGTTTTGGTAAGGTACAAGTTAATAGGATTGATAGCGAAATGGACCAAGATTTGGTTCCATTGCCTGGATTGATTTGATAGATATTCACCGAAACTTTTTGTACCACGAACACAATCACAACCACAAATTATTGATCATCAAATAACACCTACCCCTAACCACACAGGCACTCACCATACCAACGGACCATAACAACACTCACTGCTCTCACTCTCTCACGTACATCTTTTCCCTTCTTTACTTTTATGGTTTCTTTATAGCTCATAAGAGACTTTAAGTTAACGTTTTATATGCAAATATGATTGAACAAGACTGAATATGACAAAACAAGAGGGTCACTATCAGAAAACATGTTATTTTTGGCGAGTTTTTCAGCGGACGAAATCCGCAGGAAATATACCGGCGGATTTCGGGGGGACAACGAAAAAGTCAACTTATGTTGACTTCCGCCGGAAAACCGTTGTTTTATTTGCCCATTAGTGTCCTAATTAAGTCTTTTTATATCTTTTTCATATGTTAGTAGTTATATTATATATCTAATGTTAATCCCCTGTTTTTGCAGGTTTTTGAGCATTTTTGGGCCCGGTCCTGCAGCAGTCCTATAGGACCAAGAGTGGCAAGGTCCTATAGGACCTGTCCGAGAGCTG